AGTAGGTCAGACCAGACCACTGCGGCTCAAAGTGCAAAAAAAAAGACGCTCCTTCACGCGTGAGGCAAGTCTCTGGCTCACTGCCGGCAAGCGTGCTGCGCCATCACGTGACTCTTGGAGGCTGCCTGACTTGAGGTGAAGGGGGCAGCTCGTGTGTGAATTCCCCCGTGGAAATGAGAGTTCCTTGAGTTGACTGAATTTTATATATTTCGTGAAACATTGGATTGATTATTATCTGAGTGAATGAGGAAAAATTGTATACGCTGCTGAGTATTGTGGGCGACTTGGTGAGACTTTCCTTTGGATGAACAATGCTGAATATTATGGAGTGTGTTTGAGTGATTTGGTAAGATGTCTTGTTTGCTTTGCTAACAACTTCTTATTTTCTTTAAAATCAAGTTTGTATTTTTTGGAACAAGCGTCTCAAACCAAGTGTGATAACTTTGCTTGGCTTGCGGCCTTTGTCTCATCAAGCTTGAGGTGTATCAAATTTGTCAGCCCACCCACCCGCAACCACAGCTGAAGCTGCAGCAGTCGAACACACTGTGAATACACTGTTCAAGCTCATTTCCTTATCTGTGATGCGAACAACGTCACCATCAAGCTGCCTGAAGCTCCTCATTTGTGACGCGACAACGTCAATAGAGCCTACCCGACCGGGGAGGCAAAGACCAGGCAGCTCGTGTGAATTCAGGCAGAAACCAGGCAGCTCGTGTGTGAATTCCCCCGTGGAAATAAGAGTTCGTTGAGTTGATTGAATTTTATATATTTCGTGAAACATTGGATTGATTATTATTTGAGTGAATGAGGAAAAATTTGTATACGCTGCTGAGTATTGTGGGCGACTTGGTGAGACTTTCCTTTGGATCAACAATGCTGAATATTATGGAGTGTGTTTGAACGATTTGGTGAAATAAGGAAATAAAACAAAAGAGTGCTTCCTTGCAACCGTAGTGGAAGTCCAGCGCTTGGTAATGAACATGTTAGTTTGAAAAATACCGGCTGAGTTTTCCCTTGTTGCTATCTGGAGGTAATAAAGGTAATAAGTGGTTGGTAGAGTGAGATGGGAGAATCTCGTGCGCGGAAGGGTTTGTTTGTGAACTGGTTGGACGCTTTTGCAGGGTTGCAACCTTAGATTTTGTCATTTTATTTTTGTTGCAGGATGAAGTTGTGCATTTGATGGTTCATTTGAAAGTCCAACGAACACGATAGATTGCGGAATCGATCATTTCACGATTCATCTTTCTTGGACGTTCTGAAATGGATAAAGAGAACATGAAATCCGTGGAATTTCATGATAGAAGCAACACTTGTTGCAAATGTTTCAACTTCTTGCATGTCAGGTTGCAAGATACTAGATGCTTTCAAAATTGGAGGCTTCAAACAACCGCATCGGTTGTGTCAAGGGTTCCAAGCTTACGTGAAGTTGTTGCACAGTAATTGTGACCGCCGACAACATACCGCGCGACATTGTTTGGACGAAGTTGCAGCCGCCCATGCTCGACTGTGGAGTGTTTCAGCGCATGCCGTATTTCAGCACGAGATAGTGTGCAAATGTCAGATTGAGGGTATTTTGTAGTAGTCGGCTAACTTTGCAAATTCGTGAGTGCCATCAGCGTAGACGAGAGGTATTAGTTTGAATTTCATCCATGAAAAGTGTGCTTGAAATCATGTTGTGTTTGCCTCGGATTCATTTCGTGCAATGTTTCCTGCAGGCCTGGGAGGTGATTGCGGGGCTGTCGGTCTTGCATTTCTACAACGTCCGACAATCCACTTGCACAGCTCTGCTCATGGAGACTAGTATGCCAGCAGAAGATCCTCCACAGACTGGTCTTGTAGCAGCGAGGGATCCACCAGTGGACCTGGAGGCTTGGCGGCGGATGTTCTGGATTTGCGGAGGCTGTCCTTTGCGTCGATATGGTTCAGCTGGGGACGGCGGGTACCTTCTGTGTGACCTGCAAGACAGGAATTCAACAATGACGCCGGCTTATTCCTACGGAATTGATGGCCGGGACGATTGGGGCCAAGAGGTTGCTGCACGAACTGGGGCTAGATTGTTTCAATTTGACTGCTTCAACACAACAGGGACCGAGTGCCGGAGTCAGGACATGATGTGTCCACCTACAAAGTTTCGAGCAGAGTGCTTGGGCGTTCCTGGTTGCTCGTTCGATTTACCTTCTGGATCACTGCAAGAACATTTTTGGAGGAATCATGTTGCTCGTCTGCAAAGATAGTCATTGTGAGTGAATCCTGTGTAGATGCTTCTGTTTTTTTGTGAAGAAGTTCATCACCATGCTTCGGACTAATGCCGCTCAGAAGGCTCTTGTCTGATTTTTTTATTTCGTTTTGGCGGCTGCATTGGTTGACAGCTCTGCCAAGCCCAGAAACATCACGAATTTCTTGTTTTTATCCTGCATTCCAGCCTGCTTGCAGTTGTATGAGCCACTGATGTTTGATTTCCACGCTTGTCGCCGCAGGTCCGGGGATTCCATCCTTCTGCTGTTGCAGACCGCAGCCTGCTACTGAAGGAGGGGCTGTTGACTCTTTCCGGAGTGAGAAGACATTGAATCAAGAAGACTCAGATCATCAAGGACTTTGAGGTCAGGATATAGCATCTTCTGCTACGCTGATATTGTCGGGGGCAGCACATGCCATCAGACACTCTCGACAAGGGCAGCGGTTTGGGTGGTACAGGCATTTTGTAAGCGGGAGGGTTGCATCAGCGGAGTTGTGGGAGGCGGATATCGAGGGCTTCGAGTGGGATGTGTTCGCAACAGCCGAGCCGCAACTGCTGCGAAAATTCTCTCAGATTGCCTCTTGGCTCTTGACGAGATGCTGGATGATGCAATCATGTTCAAAGGTGAAGCGGTGAACATGTTGCAGCGTGAGATCGTCAGAAGGTCCATCAACATCTTTTAGTTGCATGTTTGGCCGCGCATCGTGAGGTCGTCGAGTTTCATTTCCCTTTTCTACGGATCCCAATCCCCGAGAGCTTCCATGTTGTGCACCAGAAGGCTTTGAAGCCACCTGGCAGATGCAAGTATCAGTGCGAGCTGTTTGATCGTTGCAGCATTGTCCATACAGCTACTGTTTACGCCTTGGCGCGGCTAAGGGCAATTGGGGTTATAGGGCTTTAAGTAGTGCATTCTTACTGAAATTGCAGGAATCTCCTCTCCCTCTTCGTGGTGGTGCACGTTCATCCCAATCCTATTTGCCGGGATCCTGAGCTTGGAACTTGCATTGAGGCCAGGCATTGAAGGATTTGTTCCTGTTGGCTTTGTTGTGTGCTCCTCGAAAGGAGTAGCTCCAATTTGCCAAAAGCTGAGCGAATGTGCCTCGATAGAAGCTCACATCATGAAGGGCCGTATCCAGTTAAGGTTTTATTGTTTGTCAATATTCAGGTTTTCAAATCGCATGTGCTTGTTAAAAGCTCTGGCGCTTAGCATGCTAGCAGTATGCAGAAAATACTTAGCCTTCATGGGGCTCCATTTTACGGAGGGTAAAGATGATCGCGCAAAACTGCACATGAGTGTTTTTTTTAAGCAGCTATGCTCGGCGACAAGATGACTGTTACGCATTCCAATGTGTTGTCAGGCCGAAGCTGAAATACATCCCACCTTCGATTCAACGCTTTCATGGCTCGCGTCCAGCTAGAGGTCCTTTTCAGCTATAATCGAATCTCCTTCAACGAGTGTTATCATTGAGCTTAACAGGAAGAAACCTAGAAATCCTGTGCAGTCCGATGCAGTCCGCAGATATAGCTGTTTGCAATAGGTTCAGCGCCGATTCATTGAGGCTATTTCCCAACCTCTTGGCGACCGCCAAAGTCAGCGCACTTGACTGTGTTTCAACTGGAACCCTGCCTTCTCCCTTTGAACCTTACTCGAACTGGGGGGATGAAGTTGGTTCGGCTGGTATTGAAACTGTTGTCTCCCAGCTGTTGTCTTGCTGTTTCAGGGATGCCTCGGAAATTTTTGTCAGGTGTACTAGTACCAAAAAACAATAAAGTAGTAATACGCACTGTACTAAGAACGGTAACAGTATTATTTTATTAGCAGTAGTAACAGCAGAATCTTTAATCCTTGCCTTGGGTGGCAGCAGGCCAGTCCCTGGCTGCAGGTGACCTTCGCAGAGCCGAGACTGGTGAACCGACACAGCTGCCGGCCGCCCCGCGCTAATCATCTGGATGAGAGGACTTTTTTGTCTGTCTTCATGGCGGTCCGTATCTTTGTTGGGGTTGCAAACTTCTGGATTCAGAGGGTTGGGGCTTCTGCATCTTCACCTGCACGTAGATCTCACAGGAGCGTGGACGAAGAGAACCTGGACCTTTGGTCCATCTTCCGAGAACCCTGAGGCGTTTGCACATCAGGTGAAAAAAAGCCCGCCCAGATGTGTTATTGTAAAGGTAGATTTAGCTGGTCTTTGATTCGAGCAAATCTTCACAGCCTTCGCTACCACCATAGAACTTGCTTGTCAGGAGGCATCGTGCTTCAATGAACCTTCCAGCAGCAAGGCGACCTGATACGATTTTGCAACAATTCAGGCTAGGACAAGCAAGGTTGGTCATGTTGCTTTTGCCTGCAAAGGGAACTTTGCACCGCGGAATGTTAGGGAGGGCAGAGAAGCGAAGACGACACAGCGGGAAGACGGAAAGAGCACTGAAATGTACACCAGCCAGCCCATTGATGCGACCACTCTTGCTTTTCATGGCAGCTTTTGCGGCTAGGAGGGGGGGATCTCGATACTCATCTTGTCAGGGGCTTGCTTCCTTCGCAGATTGAAAGGAACCTTTCCACGGCTGGCATTTCGGCTTGATAGCAGCAGCAAGCGTCAAGTTGTCTTGAGCCATGGAAACTGATAGCACGTGACAACGTTGCAGCAACGTTGCAGCGACGTTGCTGCAGCGACGTTGCATGTCTTGTTGCAATGATGTAGAGGCCTGCGGTATTAAATAACATCATGTTGCCGCGCAGGTTGCCTGACCTTTCAGTCTTACATGATCTTATCTCCCAGTTGCGTTCACGCTTGTCGATCAGGTGGAGCCATGTCAAGAGACGGTTGCGCTGGTGCAGGCATTTCTTGTCTGGGAATACACGCAAAAGGGCTCTGTTACGAGTAGATCCCCACAGCTCTCAACGAGCTGTCTATGCATATTAACTTCACCTCGCGTGATCAAAAATTGCAAATGAATTGGTTCAGTACCATGTAATCAGACACAGACTGATTCCAAAAATCAAGCCTTACCTGAAGCTTCTCCCTGCTGCCAAGCCTTTACGCCACGCAATCCCTAGCTGCATGTGAATATGCATGAGTAAATCGATCGACAAATAATTACATGCATATATATATATATAGAGATACACACATGCATCTTCCTCTGTCTCTCCGTGCAATCATACTTATAGTCACCTATAGTCACTCCCCCACGCCATTCATTCCTTTGAGATGTCTTGGTGATGGGATGATTTGCTGTCCACTGCTTCGTGTGTTGAATTACATGAGGTCAATCCGAAATTCCAGTAAACTCAGTGGAGTTCTGACTCCAGGCAACAGAAGCGCACTCACTTGTTGACCACGAGGCAATGCTATGTGCCAAGATGGGATTGCCTTTGGACATGAGACCATGCAGAAACAAAGACGTGGTTTCCATACCTGCTGTAGGATGATGCTTCAATGGTGCGAGTACCTTCTGACGCAGCGGGGAGTGTGACGTCCAGCGTGCGAGAGGCAACAGCTGCGAAACCAATTGTAACCACGAGCTGTGAAGTGCAACAGCTGGACATGTGAGCGAAAACGAGTTGAGGCCTCTGGACAGCTAAGTTTGCGTCCGGAATAGCTCGTATCCATTCCCGCATCCTTGATAGCCTGCCATTGCATTGGTATGCTGTTTGGTTCTGTTTGCGTACATGATGCAGGCCGAACTTCTGGCGAGGCTTGGGTTCAAAGAGTTTCACGTTGAAAGCCACCAGTACAGACTGGGCAGGTTATCGGCGAAAGCAGTTGATGCCCGCTGGCGCGTCAATCGCAAGGAGCTTGTCATGACTCGGGAGCCCCGCGCTGAGCTGCTGTGATTCTACCGAAGGTTGAGTCGGCTTAGCAGCTGTTTGGCAACCAATTCTTCTCATTGACAGCAAAGGGTTGGTCTTGGCAACTGTCTGCCGTTTTCCAAATGTCCTTTTCCTGATTGTTGTGCTTGCTCCAAGGCTCAGTAAGACACTGAAAAGCACGTTGTTCTTGGCGACGTGGCGAGGTACTGAGGTGGCTCGTCCAGCATTCGCTCAGACTACATGTTTGCACTCGCTGAAGTTTGATATAGTAGATGTGCGACTTGAAGCCTGAGCTGCATGTCAGGTAGTTGTGAAGTGCGTGCTGCCCTAAGGGGGATTCGAAGATAGCTCGGAATAAGCCGGGGAAGCCGTTGTGCGCAATGGTGCGGAAGAGCTCTGAAACATGCAGTTCTGTTCAGGTCTGAACTCTCATGGTTTGTTGTTTTCCATCTGTCTTGGGGGTAGATGTATTGATCTGCGCTCAGTGCTCAACATCCCCAGAGACCAACATCAATTTAGGATTTCCTGCCTGTGGCTCTGTCGGCCAAGGCTGAGACTCACTTTACCATGAGGGCCATGTCTTCAGCCAGGCGCGGTGGGATGAACTTCCAAGGAGCTACCAAGTCTCTAGACGGTGCCCTCGACCAACATGGTTCTGCCATGTTCTGCCACTACTTGTAGACATGCTGAAACTTCTGAGAAATCATACGAAGTGAATAACCTTTTAGCTGTTACATGTCCAGTACTCATTGAAGCCACATCCTTCACATTTGATCAGCTAGTGAGGCTGACGTCCAGCACGACTTCCAAAGCTTTTCTGAGCCTAGGCTGTTTCAGAGACCTGTCAGACTGGACTTGCAGGGAATTTTTACTCAAAGGCAGCATGGTGTTTTTATTAACATGTTTGGCAGGGATGGCAGTTTGAACCGATTGAATTCCACATCTTGCCCAAGGAAGTCAACCACGGATCAGGCTCGAAAAGAGCAGTCTGTGGGGTACTGCCGTCGAAGTATCAGGAGCTCTTTACAGAACTATTGTTGTTTCAAGGCCTGCATGGCACGTGCATCGGGAACAGTAGCGAAGCTGGCTGTGCGCTTACGTGCCTTGCAAGGTGGCAACACCGTCGACTGGTGCAGATGGTGAGGAGCATCACGCCGACCTCTCAGGTGACGCTTATGCTGTATTGCTTATGGCTTGTTGCTGCTTGGCTCGTGCTAGCGAGTGCCTAGGCAATGATCGAGGAGCTCCTGCATGAAATTGACATGATGTCAAGAGAGCGACATCCAGACATGGTGATGCAGCTTGCTTGCATTTTTGGCAGTTGTGTTTGGTCCTCCTGTGCCGTGTCAATCCGTGGGATCTGGAAGCGTTCTTTAGTCCTCTCGTTCTTTCGCCGGAGCCATGCGACTTGCCTGGTTGAGCAAGGTTTCTTGGAGCCTGCTTGGATAAGGAGCTGGCTGCTCCTGCAGAGATTTTTTTGTCAGCATCATGTAGTGCAGCTTGGCAGAGAAGAACACTTTCCCACCACCTCGCAGGACGCACCAATCATGTGCATTACGGAGTACATGCCTGGAGGGGATCTCGAACGCTACTACATGGCGCCTATGCCGCATGGGGCTGTTCCAGTCCCGGGTTGGTGGCAAGCACATGGAAGCACTTGTAAAGATCGGCGAGCTGCTTTGTACTGCGCTGCCTTCCTGGAAGATCAAGGGAGAGGTGACTAGCAATGTGAGACTTCTGTCAAAGCTTTAGTTGGTCTGGTTTCTTTTGGCTTGATGTGGACCAGCAAATCCAGGCATACTTAACTAAGAAATTTGCAGGCCTTGAGGCACTGACGCGTTCCTTTGAGGGTTCTTTCGGGGTGGTCTGCAGAGGGCAAGGCTTCGAGTTTCTGGGTTCTGGATACAAAGCACAGCGCAGAGATTGTCTCAGTGGAGCAACACATGTCGAGCGCAACTCTGGGGTCGTGGTCCTCTGACACGTGGATATGGCAAGCATATCTTGATGCGTTGAACTGACCCGAAAGATCATTGTGAGTTGTGAGCTCGGCATCATGAGGGGCTTTCAACCTGAAGGCCAAACGACGGGAGAAAATGGCTGATGTCTGGTGCCCGCCTTTATGGCGCATCTTGGAGTGGTGCTCTGCAGCTTGGCTCATCTTGGCTCCAGCCGCAACGTGCAAAGATGTGCAAAGGTATCTCGGAGTTGTTTCAGGTGGCCAGGTTCTAGCAGCGGTTGTTTGCAATGTTTGCAAGGCTGTGGCTAGAGCGCTGGCCTTTCTCCACCACCGTCACCCTGACATGCTTGCCGCAGTTCCAGTGCTGATTCAAACGATGTGCATGGAACTCATGCTTTGGCATGCTTTGGCTTGTGGATACCCCTGCGCATGCAAACTCACAGAATCTGAAGCAGCGCTACTTTGAGATTGCAGAGTTTCTCCATAGCTGCCCGAGTTGACTTGTGATGACCTTGAGTTTACACACAGCATTATGCCCAGCATCAGCTCCAAAAGCAGTTGGTCAAGCCGAAGCCTGCAGGCGAAGAGCCTCTGATTCACAGAGACTTGAAACCGCTGAACCTGCTTTTGCTACTTGGATGCTTTGTGGCTCGAGCTGAATGTTGTGTTAAATTCCTTTGTTTATGGTGCAGGCAGAGCTGAAGCCAAGGAACAAGCACCTTGAAGTGAAGGTGGCTGACATGGGCATCTCCAAAGTTATGACGCTTGGCCGGACAGTCTGGTTTGTCATCATAATACAGTCGCAGCACTCAGCTTGATGCGACTTCTGGTGCGAGACGCGATCTTAGGGCGGCAACCAACGGCAACGCGGCCTCCTACACCATGACGGGTGGAGTTGGCAGCTGGCTTTACATGGCGCCAGAGGTGGTCAGGCACAACTTGGCATCACGCGTCACCTAGTTTGATGATCCTTTGCCCGGCCTTGTGGAAAGCTTAGCACACGATATTAGCATGTGCAGGGAGGTGCATGTCCTGGAAGAAATGCAGGCATCGTACACCTAATCAAATGCCACCAGACTGTCGGCATGCTCTGCTGAATGTTCTTTCCTCACTGACCGCTGGCTGCAGGCATGAACAATACAACGAGTCTTGGCAGAACTGCTTGATCTAGTTGTTGAGGACTCTTGACAGCCTAGGAGAAGGTTGACATCTATGCTTTCGGGCTGATAATGCTGGGAGCCCAGCGGACCGGCGACCGCTGATGAAGACTTGGCCTACACGGCTCTGCAGGGCCCTTGAGGGTTCACGCGCAGGTACTTCATGAGTTCTGGGCGAACTCCCTTCTACCAGCTGGGAAGAGATCCCGAGCTGGCTGCTCTTTTGCAAGCAGAGGGTGGCGTTGTTGCTCAATAGAGTAATCAGCATCAAGATGAGTCAGAGGCATATTGCCTGAAACTTGAATCCGAGGTCTTGAAGGCATATTTGCGAGGGGATGAGCCCAGGCCCTTGCAGGGCTTCACCCACTCTGCGGTAGTCGGGGACTGGGCTCTACTGTTACGTCATCATGTTTTGCAGCACTGATAGTTTTGTACTCGAGGACCCATGCTCCTTCAGGGTCCCCAATTAAAGTGGACCGTAGACAAAGACCTGGCAGGCAACTCTTCCTTAGCATGGGCTCCTCATATTCTGACTGACTCCTGCCGTTTTTTGGATCCTACACTCCTCGTCGGGCCTGTGGGGTTGTACTGATACATAATTGGCGCATGAATCAGGACAAACACTAGTTGCCATGGGTGCAGCTTGAAGAGCAGAATAAGTTGGAAAATCAGTTTTTAGGTATTTTTTGTTGTATTTTGTTTATTTGAATTGGCGTTTGGGCTTCCCGGCTTGTTGGCTTCTCCGGCTTCTTGGCTTGTCGGTTTTGCGGCTTCTAGGCTTTTCTAGGCTTTTGGGCTTGCGGGCTTCTTTGCTTCCTTCCTGGCTTCTTGTCTTCTCCCGCCACCCCCTCTGCTTCGTTAAAGCCATCCATGCACACGGTAAAACCGCGTGTCAAAACCATGTTTGCAGGACGGGAAGGTTCAAACCATCCATGGTTACCGCAAACAAAGAGTCATGGGGCCAGGACCCCCCGCTTTTAAGTCGATCATGTTTGCAAAAAAGAGCAAGCATGCTTGCAGCAAAGCAATGTTTTGCGGCTCATTTTGTTTGCAAATGCGGGGGCGCGTTCCCCCCAACCTCCCGCATTTTTAAAGCTATGCATGCTTACGGAAAAACAACACATGTCATCACCAGGTTTGCAGGAGGGGAAGGCTGTGTGGATCATTACAGCAAGCGTTATGTACTCTCATTTCTATTGAAGTATCACTATAATTCGTTGAGCTCTCGCAGGAGCAGCCTAACAGATTGAGCTCTCTCGCCTGAAGTTTCCATATTTCCATATTAAGTTGAGCTGGCGCACAGAGCGTCCTCAAATTTAGGCTTAAACATAGAGCTCTCGCATGGAGCTTACTCACATTTTGACACCAAATTGAGCCCCCACTTAGGGCTTCCTGAAAATTTTGGCGCAAGAATTGAGCTCGCGTTGGAGCATCCTCACATTTTGGTCTAAAGAATGCACAGAACCACCCAAAACCAAAAAACATTAAAGAACAACAAAAAAGCACACCTAACTCAAGTTTCCACCTGAAGAATTTGAGGTATGCCGGATTTCGGGGTAGGGTTTGTTCAGGCGGGATACCCCTACTGTACGAACGCATGAACAAAACAGGCCCATTCTGGCCGACTGTCACAGTCAACTGCGACGGATCATGGCCTCCGCCTGGGATGCCTGGTCCCTGGTCCCATCTTCTCAGATTCTGTTGACAACTTTCGACTCATCAGCTGGGCGAGTGAGTTGGGTTGCTTGAGGAAGTCCAGCTACGTTCCCAATTTCAATCCTAAGCATTGTCCATTTAGAGCCTGAGGCGGACGAGAAGCTCCGACCTACTGCCGAGCAGTTAGTACAGGAGTTGAGCGAGGCATCAGCACTTGAGTGACAGTCAGATTTAGCAACGGCTAGCACATGTCTTAGCTGGACATGACCTTAGCCGTTGAATTTGGAAACCTCTAACAGTCCATTGTGCTGAGGGAGCAATATAGGGATATGGCTGAGAATCCAGCTTACCACCAAGACGAAAATCCAACCTGCCAAGGGAAACATGGGTTCCAGTGCTGAAGCAGTACTACAAGTCATAAACATCCCATGGACTGGCAGGTACCGGTGACAAAGCGATCCTGCCTATGCTCTCAGATGTGACCACAGCACCCCCTCTGCGCCATTCGAGGCTGTGATGCAAGGGTGGGGAATGCTGATGATTGTGAGATGTACGTCATTGTAAAAAATACTCATCATGATTTCATTGAATTATTTGGACATTATTTAGGGGCATTCATTTTTACACAAAGACTTGTAGATATTCATGGCGACTGCGCTCAGCCCCGTCCCACGAGGCTCGTGTTGATGTCCCGCGCCAGCACTTGCTTGCTATCGGGACAGGCAAACTACTTGCAGCATCAATGGTGGAGCCGGTCGATGCTGAGTCCCAAGTGGATTCTTTATGTAGATAGGTAGAGAATTGCGAATGTTCTCTCCAAAGGAAGCGCCGTAAGGTGCCATCGTTTGAATGACCTTTCTTTCCAGACTGTGGGATAGTTGCAACAGGTGATATGCCAGCAGCACTGCTGTTGCCTTGCCCTGCATTCCGACATCAAAAACCTTGGTACAGAGGAGGCAACGCAGCAACGACAACAGTTTGGAAGGAAGATGGGGTTGTAATCGCTGATGTGAAGGATCTTTTCCAGCTGGTCCGTAAACACGGCACCGGCTTTGTCTATAAAAATGAGGGCATGGCCAGGGATTAGTCTTTAACTCCAGGCTAGGAGGTCTGCCAACATCCCCAAAGATCAATCTTGCTCAGCCCAAGGCTTCTTGGCGACCGATTTTAAAGACCACCGCCTGTTGTGAAAATGGTTGCAGAGCGAGATCCTTCTGGAATGGGTTCACCTCCCAGAAGGGAAGAAGCATAGACAGGAGAGAATGCACCGAATGCGACATGCTTGTGTTGGGTTCAATGCGTGTGAACTGCTTTTATCTTGAAGAGTCTTGCTGCTGCAGCAGCCTGGGGTAGCTGAGCCAGTGAGCTTTCAAAGAGTTTGGATCCGGCTCTTGTATGCAGTCGGTCAGTCTGCATAGAAGCAGAAAGCTCGTCAAGGCCAAGGAATAATTTCAAGCTTGACAACTTTTAGCAAAAAGGCCTTTAGGTGTACATGAAGGCTGGCAGCAAAGGGATCACAGGCCGTTGCCATTTTCCCTTTGCAGCCTCAAGTGCATGCATGAAGTTGAAGCCGCACCACCCAACAAGCTTCATGAGGTTGCACCATATGACAAGGTGCGCCGACACCAGTGTACCCGCAACATACTCGTGCGGATCTGTGACGTTGCTGTTCCTGTCGCACCA